AGTTTGGAGTTTAGATTTAATGTTTTATTAATGGATGTTGTGTTGTAAATATATATAAACACAATTTAATACACTTAAAGATTACAAGTGCAAGATGTGACAAAAGCCTCAAACATTTTTTGTTTAAAACTAGTTAAAGGAATAAAATACTCCAAACTCAACTTAAGCTGCAGATCATTCCAGGACCATGGGCCAAAACAGGACAAACTCATCTTTGCTGACTCTTTGCGCACAAAGGGTACCTTAAACCACAGCCAGCTACTGGCCCTGAGACTGAATGTGTTCTGGAGTGAAATTAACTTAAAGTTGATGTATGATGGTAATTTTCCTAAAATGGCTTTGTATGTGAAAATATACCAATGCTTCATCCTTCTAATATTGAATGAAGTAAGTCCAGCAAGGTATAAAGTACAACGGTGAGTCCTAAAGGGTGAACCTGTTATATACCTCGGAGCAGCATGGTAAATGGGGTCCAGTTTAGCTAAGGTAGTGAGGGAGGCAAATCTATATATTGTGTCTCCGTAATCCAGCTGTTTACACTCCATGACAGAAAATGCACATATCCCAGATAACGTGGTTTGCACACTAGCTGAATTGATCAACTCGAGAAGCGACGTGCTCGAGAGAATTGTGGATGGTATTCGCACTGATATAAAACTGATGAATGAAAAAAAGACTCTTATGGAAAAGCGGGTGGAGAAAAAAGAGAATTCAGCTCTAAAATGCCTTGATCACATTGCTAACCTGGAAAGCTATGGAAGACGATGGAATCTGAGGCTGCAGCGGTTACCAGAAGCTGAAAGGGAAGACGTACGAGTAGAAGTCATTAATACATGTCAACAGATACTACCATCTGAGACAGAAACTTCCTGACACCAAAGATGTGGCCCAACGAACAGGAAGAAGGCGCCGTGACAACCCAAAGCCCCGTGGTATCATCATCAGGTCCGTCTCCTGGTGTTTCAAGGAGGAGCCGTGGAGAGCAGAACAGTGTTCTCCTGCAGTCGAAGGGTCTGCGCTTCAAAGAGGACCTGACCATAGAAGAAAGCGATAACTGACAAAAGCTTTGGCCCGAGATTAAAAGAGCACGAGACGAGGGAAAGACGGCCTACTTCGTGGGAGGAAGAGGTTTCATCAATGGCTCAGAACTACGTCTTTAGATGGATAGAACGACTCTAAAACAGGACTTGGCTCTAAATGCTCTCAGGTTCATTCTGTTCTCAGGTTTGATCACTTCTGTTTAAATTTAGTGTTTAATTTAGTAATTTAGTGAATTAAAAAAAATAGGGAATTTATATTTTAAGGGCAAAATGATAAGAGGTTCATTTAACATTAATGCCTAATCATTCTGCGTGGATCTTGGTGTTGATCTCAACGTTGCACAGTGAATTTACTTAAAGTACTATTTGTTTACTTCAGTTTAAATCTGCTGAATCTATCCTTTCTATTTTTAAATGCTAGGGGTTTGTGAAATAATATTAAACACAAAACTTTAATCCTTTTTGCCAAACAATTCAAAAAGATTTTGTCTTTTACAAGAATCGTGGTGAAGAGAGAGCTGAGTCAAAAGGCGAAGCTCTCAATTTACCGATCGATCTACGTTCCCACCCTCATCTATGGTCACGAGCTTTGGGTTGTAACCGAAAGAATGAGATCTCGGATACAAGCAGCCGAAATGAGTTTTCTCCGCAGGGTGTCTGGGCTCTCCCTTAGAGATAGGGTGAGAAGCTCGATCATCCGGGAGAGACTCAGAGTAGAGCCGCTGCTTCTCCACGTCGAGAGGAGCCAGTTGAGGTGGCTTGGGCATCTGTTTAGGATGCCTTCTGGACGCCTCCCTAGTGAGGTGTTCCGGACACGTCCCACCGGAAGGAGGCCCAGAGGAAGACCCAGGACACGCTGGAGGGACTATGTTTCTCGGCTGGCCTGGGAACGCCTCGGGATTCCCCCGGAAGAGCTGGCCCAAGTGACTGGGGAGAGGGAAGTCTGGGCCTCCCTGCTTAGGCTGCTACCACCGCGACCCGACCCCGGATAAGCAGAAGAAAATGGATGGATGGACAAGAATCCCATTCCGTACCAAACAATGCCAAATTTAGGAAATCTCCATGGGGCAACTTTGTGTGTCTCTTCCATAGCACTGAACGCTCAGCTGGGGTCGCTACATTAAACAACAGGTTTAGTGGGGAGGTTTTATGTACTGAGTGTGACCCTAATGGTCCCTTTATCTGCCAAACTATTAAATATAATGACAGAGTCTACATACTGTAACATATAACGTATATGGATTCAATACGAAATAGGAAAACAATATTCTTATTATGTCAGTAGAGGATATACCGCTACACTGGTTGTCTAAATTCCCAAACTCTATTTTACTGCTTGGAGGTGACTTCAATGATATTTTTAATGGCTCCATGGATAAATGGCCTCCGGGCTCATCAAATAGAACAAACACAAGCCTTAATGAATTCATGAGTAAATTTAGCCTTGAAGATATATGGTGAGTAAAATATCCTAACAAGACGTTTACATGGAGCAATAAAACAGGGTCAAGTGAGTCAAGAATTGACTTCTGGTTGATTTCCAAGGATTTTAAAGTAAATGACATTGTGGAGAAAATACACCCCATTCCTCTTACAGATCATAAAAATATTTATATCAAGTAGGGGTGCACCGAGTGCAGTTTTCTGGCCGATCACCGATTTCTAAAAAGTCTGAACTACTGATTCCGATTTTGGCCGATACGATTTTGTTTAATAAGCGACACTACCAGGTGTTATAAGGTCACAACGCACCTTCAATTTTCCAGTCTTATCTTATTGAAAAGCATACGCTTGAACAATATCCTAGAAACAATGCAAACTTGTTTTAACTGGCCATGAGGTCGTGCTCTGAAATATAAATGAAGTTTAAACAATTGTTGTTAAAACTATTAAAAAAAATTGGTAAAATCTGTTTCTCATACAAGTATCGTCCGATTTCCTATTTCCCAAAATTAAAGATATCGGGGCCGATAAATCAGCCGTCCGATTTATCGGTGCACCTCTAATATCAAGTTGTGTTTATTCGTCATATGCAAGATTAACATAAGATTAACACAAGATTAACACAATGTTAACACAAGGTTAACCATACAAGG